GGCAGGGGTGGGCAGCCCAGCCGGCAGCCGGTTGGAGGTGGCTGCTGCAGCCCTGGCGAGGCGCACACTTCGAGGCAGACGCGCTCCAAACGCCTCCTCCCTGCGCCACGAGGATGGAACAGCCGTCCCTACCCGGGACTGGCGCAAGGTAAGGTGCAGCCGCCTGTTGCTTTTCGCAGAGCGCGGGATCGTCTCTGCCCGGGTGCTTAGCAAGCCGTCCCTCCGGGAACAAGTAGAGAACTACACCCTAGTTCTCAGGTACGTCTGTCTAAACCTCTGGAGCCCCTGGCGCTGACCCTCGGAGAGACCCCGCCTGGCGGGGGGAGTCGACCCTCTTGGTCCCTTCCTGCTCAGCCGGGTGCGGTGCAATAGTCTGCAAACTTTTGTGACCACCCGCCCTCCCCGGGCGGTGCTCACCCCGTGCCATGCAAGTAGCACGTTTAGTTCTCGCGTGCGCCCTTCCCCCAGCCCCCTTGCCACGCACATCTGCCCGCTTCTCTCTCTCTCTCTCTCTCTCTCTCTCTCTCTCTCTGTTCTTGCCAGTGGACTTTTTGCTCCCCGCGGCTCCCTCTCCAGAGGCGAGGGTTTGGGACCCGGCAGTGCTCAGCCTGCCCGTGGAGCTGGGTAAAAGCAGGGAAGGTGACAGGAGAGGCGGGATGTGGGGAGAGCCGCAGCCATCCCGAAGCTCCATCCCCAGTGGTGGGATCGGTCGGCCCTGCGCATGCCACCCCCGGCTCGGTCATAAAACCGTGGCGTGGCTCCCGGTTGTGCGCCCCGAGGACTGCGAGTGCAGATCTGGGTGGGTGAAGTAAGTGGTTCGGGAGGGAACGACTGCTGGTGGGGGCGCAGGAGGAAGCTGAGGGTAGAAGGTCGCTTTGCCCGCCGATGGAGGGGGATGCAAAGACTACAAATGTAGGCGAGGGACCAGCCCCGAGCGGTCATCTGAGGAGGAAAAGAGGTTGAAGTCCGGAGGGCGCTGGCCTGGGGTGTAAATACAGATGGGGGAGGGGCCGGACACCTGGGGACGCGCAGAGGTGGAATGGAGCCCTGGATTTTGGGGGCCCGGGGGAATTTGGGAGGGCAGGCGGCTGGGTTCCTGGAGTGGAACGATCTCCCTCCTCAGGAACAAGCAAACCACCTTGCTATAATCTGAATGCCGTTGACATCTTAGGCGGTGACTGAACGGTCAGATCATGAACTAGAAGAAATGCTTTTCCTGACTCTACTCGGTCGATGCCCTCTCTTCTTCCCTTCTCCTGCACTCGCCTAATTCTACAAGCTGTCAGCTCAGCAACTGTGTCGGTAGACCCACGCCCACCTTCCCTGTCAACACTTGGGTGTCTAGGATGTCTGCAAAGCCCCACAGTCGGGGTAAGAAGGGGAATCCTGGCCCGTAGTGGGAGACCAGTGTGCAGGGAGGGCTGGGGGAGTCCCTGGCGCACAGCAGGTGGGCAAGGGTCCCAGCCAGTTGGAGAAAAGCGCAGCGGCAGAGGCTGCAGAGGGAGCCACCTTCTCACAGCTCCAAGAATCGCACCTGGGCGGAGCAAGGGAGTGGGGGAGCCTGTGCTGTGCCGGAGGATCCGGAGCTGGAGTTGGAGGGCAATCGGGAAACCGGGAGAGGGGGGTGTGGGCATCAGGTGAGAGTCGAACCAGCTCCCAGACCTAGGGCCCGGAGAAAGGTGGGACAAGATGCCAAAGGCATTCAGATTATAGCAAGGAGGTTTGCTTGTTGCAGAGGAGGGTGATCGGTCCACCCCAGGCGCCTGATAGCCTCCAGGTAGACCCCTTTGGCTGTTTTAGAGGCTCTGGCAGATTTGGGAAGAAGACGAAGATCTTTCCTTCTAGGCACCCCAATCATCTAGGGTGCAAGACCTTTTGCTGGAGAGAGCCTAGTCTGCTGTTGCAAAGAAAGGGCAGCCTCCCCTCTTTTAGGTCCCACAGCCCTCTTTCTTTCTAAGGAACACTAAGCTCCAGACTAGGATGCCATGAGCTGGAAGCACCTACCTGAACGTCTCTCTAGGAGGAGGTGTGCTCCCCTTTTCAAGTAGCATCTTTGACTGAGTCAAGTTCCTGGTTCCTCTGGCTCAGAAGGGAAAGTATTTGAAAGTTGTGCTGGGGTTACACACAACAATCGGGTCCTCCCTGTTCAGAGCTCTCACCAGCAGGCTTTTAGGAAAACAGCCTTCTCTACCTTGCCCTGTAGACGCCTCCTGCTCTCGGACAGTCTTTTCTGGGCCCTTGGTCTGATTCTTCCAGAGAAGATGTCAGCTCATAAGGGTTCCCAGGAGTAATCCCAATGTGGGCTGTCCCATTCCAGGGTACCATTGCCACCTCTGGAGCAGGGAGCTCCCTGCCAGGCAGAGACCAGCTCCAGAACCCCAAAAGGCTCTAGTGGGGGTCCCCGCTGCTCTGGTTCCTACTGTGTTTTTTAAGCACAAAGGCTACACCCTCAGAGGCCGGGCTGGCTGGTGAGAGCTCTCTGGCTTTTGAATTACCTGGATACCTGAGGTAGGATCCCAGACACAAGTCTCTCATCCCATATGATTTAGCTTGTGACTCCCCATGGCATGTTTTTTTTTTTTTTTTTTTTAGGAGTGCTTTTCATCTGACTTTGTGCTCTGACTCCCTTACCCCTTTCCTTTTCATGTAGAAACAGGTTAGAGCATGTCCCTTGGGAACTTGAGGGAAGACTCCAAATCTACACTGTTATTTGTTTTGTTTTGTTTTTCAGATTGCTAAACTATTATGGGGAAATTAACGGTAATAATAATCAGAATTACTTACCATTTATTGAGTTTGTGCTATGTGTCAGGCACTATGGTAGATGTCTTACAAACTTGTTAGTTTTAATTTGCACAGACAACCATAAAAGATGGGTAAAGCTATTGTTCACCATTTTATAGATGGGCAAACTAAGCCATGGAGAAATTAAATTATTTTCTCATTGTCAGGCAGCCAGTACATGGTGAAGCTGGTTCACCAGTGAGCAGAGAACATTGGGTATTTCCCATATTCCCAGTTGTTTGGTACTGAAGATTCTTTGCCTGTAAAGAATTATGGGTTAGGCCCCTCACTTCCTCCATATCCCAGGATCGTACTATAAATGCCAGACTGGCTAGAGTTTTGCCAGACTAGTGTTGACCCTTGCTGCCTCAGTTGGGGTAGCCTTAGTAGCATGAGTTTCTAGTACTGGAAGACGATCTAGGGAACTGGTTACTAGTGTTGGGAGTTTTCCTCTGGATCTTTTAGCAGACATTTCATCTGTAAATAGGAGGAATCCAAATCAGAACAGAGATTTGCTTTATTGTAAACAAGCAAACACTGTATTTTGCAAATAAGTGCCTTTCTGGGATTTACATCATAGAATGTTGGAGTGAGAGATCTCAGGTGTGATCTCTCCTGGTCTAGGTGGAAGGAGATCAAGGGCTGAACTCCAGGCCACTTAGTGTCTTTGTAGCTTAACTAATAAAAACCCACTGCTGGGTTGGGGGATTTAGCTCTGTGGTTCTGCCATCTGCCTCACAGGCACGAGGCCCAAGTTCGATCCCCGGTATAAAAAAAAAAAACCCAAAACCCACTGCCTTTGGGCCCTTTGTCAAAGAAACCGATGTTAACACATGAATAAATTATGTCCACTTTTGTCATTTTTTTCAACATCTTACAATTAATTAGGGAAAATATTTATTTTAAAAATATCACTTTGCTTATTTTTCCATCAATGCTTCTTAATCAGCATAATAAAAAGGCCAGCATAATAAAAAAGCCAATGCATAAAGAATATGCCTCTTTTGCCAAAAAAGAAAAAGAAACCAATAGAATATTTATATCTTCAAATAAACAAAAGCTAACTAAAATGTAGCCCTTTAATGATTTTAAATAAGAGTAAATGATTCCAGACTGTTATTCTAGCAAAGTGCTTCTGTCAGGTTTAGTAGCTCTGTCCTGCCCTATCCTCAAGTACTTGTGGAAGACAAAAACAAAAAATATATACTTTAGCAGAGGGAAAATCCTTTGGATGTAACAGAATGAACTGACATAATTTCTCCTGGATTTCTGACCTTTGAGTTAAACTTCTATGATGATGTGATTCTGAAGTAAAACAATATATTCCTAGTGGTTGTACCTAGAACTCAGAAAGTAGAAAAATGTTTCTTTGCTACTTCCTCCTCCATTGAGCCCCCTCTACAGAGATTTTCCATATATTCCAGGCATTCCTGTGGAACAGAGTTCGGTTTCTAGGTGCTCCTTATGTCTTCTCTCCAAGGCCAGCGCATCTTCCACTTGGAAACAAAGCAAGAAAAAAGCCAGGAGTGAAAAAAGCCTGTTTCCCAGAATCATTAGGGGAGCACAAATTAGAGGCAGACAGTGGAAATCTGATGGGTTTTATGTCATCTGGAATAGGATTTCCATCTCTAGTGCTGCTCCCTACCAAGACAACAGTGGTTTGGGAGGTGGAAGGACAGGAAAGCAAGACAAACAGGAGGGAAGTGGCTTTACAGGATATGAGGCTGGCTGATGAGGGACTCCGGTGACAGAAATGCCCACCAGAAGGGAGCTCTGCCAGGAGCTGCTTGCCATCTATGTCAAGCTGACCGATCTGAATCCCAGGGTCCCCAGGTTTCTCAAAGGGAAACATTCACTTTCTAGAGAATTCATTACACATATATCTACTTTTTATGTGAGTAGGAGAAAAACTGCACACCTGCTGCACTCTTGAGGGAGAACCATTAAAAATCAGATCATCCCCAAAGGGTAAACTGCTGGAGCTAGGAACACTGCTTTAATTGGATTATAGCAGAAAATAAAAGTAACTTTGAAATCTGGAATGACAAAATCCTAAGAAATGGTCTCTGTTCTAGGAAAAACAGCAAGTAAAATCCATTTGAACCTGAGGGAACATCTTGGTTTCCAATTCCTACATTTTTTTTCAGGAAGACCAAAGGAGGTAGCTCTGTCCTCATTTAATTCTTATAGTGCAAATACAGTCTTGGTATTTTACTGTAGCTCCTGTGGTGTAGTATTGAAAGGTTGAAAGGTTTCATCACTTCTGGTGGCCCAGGTTTCTGAGCAGGTATTCCTTTAAAATCATAGAAACATGAGTTTGCTGGACTTAAAAGTAACAATTACTATTAAAGCAACATGACCTGAGACAAATGATGAAAAAACAAGAAAGTTTTATTTAGAACACATTGAATAAGTATGTTTATGTAATACACAGTGTGATTTACAGTTTTTCTGTTTTATTAGATGTTTGATAATTTAAAAAATAGTCAAGATCTGGAACATCTGACCTAGACCATTTTTAGTGACAAGAGAATCTAAGTAGCAAGTGTCTGTGGAGTTTGAAGAAAATGTTGAAAAATTTTAAAAGACCAAAGTAGAACTTGAGAAGCTTTACCTTTATGGGTTTTATTTTAAATAAATATATACTATCTTAATCCATATTTAGATTTGAATAATCAAGAAGACTGAACATTCATTATATCTTCAGATTATTACTTTGATGAGATTTGTTTGACCAATGATTTAGAACAAGAACAGAGCTCTTATATCTGAGATAATAGCACCTCTTTCCATCTACTTTATAAAACCAGTGAATTATATCTCAACAGAGTATATGGAATGGTCATTTCATATTAGAATAAAATCTAGAGTACTGATAGGTGTGGAACAGTTTCCCCCAAATGGTAAGTTAATAATAAGAGCATATAATTCTTTAAAAATGAATGAGTAAATACTGCAAAAATAACCACCCCCAATAAAAACATTTTATTCTTTAAGAGGATAAATGAATGGATTAGGAAATGTTACAAAATTTATGATTTCATTTTAGCCTAATCTCTAAGCTACATTTTATGTTAATATCTGGCTGGTGCAAATGTCACTACAGTTAACAGAAATGCTTCAGTGCCTTTTACTAGACATAAAATGAAAGCAAAAATTATAAAATATGTCAAGCCATTCTCAATCATGGGGCAACATTTGACAAAAATGGTATGTTTTCAAATATAGGTTAATTTCTTTTTTTCTCTTTCCTTGTTTCTTTGCTCCCTCCTTCCCTCCCTCTTTCCTTTCTTCCTTCCTCCCTTCCTTATTCCAAGTCTTCAGTACCTTATTGGGAGGAACTGTTTTTTCAGAGCAAGTATGGCCCTGGTGAAGACAGCGCTGAATGGACATGCACAAGCTAAAGCACAAAAGTCATAGGGTCTCTCATTGGCTCTCCGCCCTAGTCTTCTGCTTCAATTCTGATTTGGAGAGATAGAATTGTTCAAGTCTGCTTATAAGGGTTCCCCTTGTTAGCAGTGACTAAGCAATATGTTTTTGTGTGTGTGTGTGTGTGTGTGCTATACTGGGAATTTATGCACGGAGAA